ACTTGGAGGAAAGCACCCCCTTATTATCCAGTGTCTGCCACCCAGACTGGTCACATTAGGTTCACGTGAGAGCTGTACTGGTGCAAGTTCCAAGAGAACGAGAGCGGACAAAAATCTCCCTTGAGAGATGTGGGCCCAAAGAGAGTTCACCTAGGACGTGCTAAAGTGAGCAATGGAGGCAAATGGAAAAGACTGATTACTTCCTATCATTCTGGAGAAACTGTTCATTCATGCACGCATTTATTTAACTGACATTTATTTAAAAGCAGTATAGTATATGTTTAAATGTTTCAAGCTCTGGAGTTAGATACCCTGGGTTCAAATCCAAGTTCTACTACTTATGTGCTTTGAGGCCTTGAGCAAGCTACTTAATTTTTGTTTCCTCATTTATAGTTTTCATCTCAAAGACTTGTTATGAAGGATATATAAGGTGATATATGTAAAATATTGATAACAGTGCCCAGCACGTAGAAGTCATCCGTTAAGTGTTGTGTGTGTTACTGTGGCCAAGCTCTCTGTTGGATATAAATAGGAGCTCAGAGATGTCACTATGGATAAGGTAACAATAATCATAGTAACTTTTCTTGTTATCTTTGCAAACAGTTCTTTGGGAAACAAGATTGCTTGGGTCCAATCCAAAGGTTATTTTGCCCTGTTTTAACACTTCAAAGATTTGAGTGTCATCTACAGACACATTTTATTTGAACTTTGTAAGGAGATAAACTTTCTGTAGGAAGAATATAAAGAGAAAAGAACATAATGCTTCCAATGTGATTGGAAACTTTTAACAAGTCCTTCCATTTCTAACAATATGGAGGACTTTATAAACTGAGAAACATTGGTTTGCCAAAAAATAAAGAAATAAAAAACAATCTGAATATGTTACATAAAAATTAACAGATTCTTTTGTAAATGTTCAGCTAATTGTTAAAGAAATAATGGAAATTGCTAAGGGCCAAAATCAAAGAGGCAATTAAAAACCAACTAGTAATCTTGTAAATTAGGACCTTGGTAGGATGTCTTAGAAATCTTGGGTCTTAGGTTTGGTGCTTATGTGAGTTGTGGGAGAATGTTAGTTATCTTTTCCCCTGCAACACATTACACAAATTTGGCTACAAACAACAGAGATTGGTTATCTCACAGTGTCTGTGAGTCAAGAGCCTGAACAAGGCTTAGTGACTCTGCACAGTGTCCCCATTGCCTCAATTAAAATGTCAGCTGGGCTGAGGTCTCCACTGAAGAAGGAGACACATTTTTTTGGCAGAACTAGATTCTACATGGTTGTAGGAATGAGAGCTTCTATTTTTCCCAGTTGTTGGCTAAAGGCTGCCCTTAGTGCCAGGTGAGCTTCCTAAAAACAGCAGCTTCAACAGGGAAGCTTTCTTCTTCTCATGAAGTAAGTGGTCCAGAGGGAGGGGTATTAGAATCATATATAAAGTGATCGTGTACATGCCATCATCCTTGCAATGGTCTGTTGTTTAGAAGCAGTCACAGGTCCTGCCCACACTGGAGAGAAGATCCCACAAGGGCATGTACACCAGGAGACAGAGATCATGGGGGACCACCCCAAGAATCTCACTGCCACAGAGTCCTATGAGAGGCATGGTGTTGTAAATGAGACCCCCTCATTAAGCCAGGACCTTGAGGAACTATACCCACATTCAAAGGGAGATATCAGGGAAAGTTCTCTGTCTCAGCACAGACTATGGGGGAAAATCTCTCTCATGAAAATTATGGTCAAAGTCTATAGGATGCATGGATTTGAGATTCAAGCTTATTGAGGAGTCCCATGACTGTCCAAGGTAAAAAATGAATGTACAAAATGCTCTGGATCAGTAAATTCTCAGAAAGCATGGAAAACCTTTTTGGAAGGATGTGCCCACGTCCTTTGAAAAAATACCCACAGATAAAGCTCCACTGAAGGCAAAGATCACAATTCCAAATTATGAAACCTGTGAGGAAACTCTAATTTATTGTGAGTTAGAGGCAGCAGTCTCAAGAAGCAGGAGTAAATCTCCAAGAACTTAATAGAAAATGATGTGTATTATGGGCTGAATTGTGTCCCCTCCAAATTCATATGTTCGAGCCCTAGCCCCCAGCACCTCAAAATGTGACACATTTGGAGTTAGAACCTATAAAAAGTGATGAGGTTAAAACAAAGCCTTTATGGTAGGCCCCAATCCAATCTGACTGTGCCCTTATAAGAAGACAAGATTAAGAAACAGACACACACAGAGGGAAGACCATGCGGGACACTGGGAGAAGGCGGTCACCCACAAGCCAAGGAGAGGGGCTGCAGAGAAATCCAACTCTGTCAGCACCTTGATTTTGGACATCTGGCCTGCAGAACTGTGAGAAAGTCAATTTCTGGTGTTTATACTGCCCAGTCTGTGCTATTTTAGCATGGCAGCCCTAGCAAACTAGTACAGTACAGAAAAGGCTAAAAAATAAGAATGTTAAAAGTGATAAAGAACATAAGTAAATAAAAACATGAGGATTAGATATGATGTCTTAAACGCATAAGGCAAAGACAAAAAACCCCCACCCCAGTCCATAGCCAAGGGGCCTGCGTGCAATGGCCACACAGTCCTCTACTGTGAGCTGAGACTCATTGTTACAACTCATTTCAGCCTTTCCCTAACTTTAGCTATGCTCCATGAAGTGGCACAAAAAATGACCAGAAGTGTTTTAAATTTTTTTGTGGGAAGTAGGACAAATACAAGGTTAATCATGTAAATCAAATGTTTATTGAATCAGTATTTTCTCTGGTCACTTTGTGAATAAAATTTGTCAGCTTGCAGATTGGTCAATTATAATTCTGAGATTTGGGACTAATAAAGAATTAGTCTGCATTCATCTATTTATTCATTTGCTCAACAAATATTTGTTAGACCCCTCTATGTATTATTTAATTTAGTTTGTTTAATGAAAAATAATTTAGTAATTTGCGAGTTAAGAATTAGTTGTCTGCTCATGCTTTTATTCATCAAGAAATTAATTTATGTTATGAATTTAATTTAGATAATTTAGATAATTTTTGAATAAATCAATGAAGTAATTTAATTCATCCTTGAATTCTTTTTGTTTATTTGTTTGAGTCAAAGTTTTTATTTATGTATTTATTTTACTTGTTGTTCAAGTACAGTTCTCTGCCTTTTACTCCCATCCCAGCCCCCCCCCCAGTCCTTCCTCCCTCCCTCCCGTTTCCACCCCCCGCCCTTGTATTGGCCATGTGTCCTTTATACTTGCAAACCCTTCCCTTTTTCCCCTGAAATTCCCTCCCCTCTTCTCTCTGGTCACTTGAATTCTTAATGTTTATTCCAAGGCACTGCAAGCTCCTGAGATGCTCTCTGAAGTACCACATTGATTAAGGCTTGCTCAGGATAATTCTAACATCATCTATACCTTCTTGCATTATTATTTGAAAACCAGGAGTCCCTCTGTAGTATATGTACAGGTTGTCTCAAAGTATTACCGGAAGGTTCTCTTTCTGTTTGTCAGTTTCACAATGAAAGACCTATGTAAATTAGCCATGATCTCCTGAACGGGACCTCCATTCAATGAGATGCTTTTAACTAGCTGTACGATTTTACATAGGTTGTTTATTCCTATATAGGCCTCCAGCTAACCTATGAAGCCCTTTCCTCCCTAGCACTTTTTGTCCTGGACCCTGTCTTCTCTGTCATCTGCAGGTCAGCCTCTCAATCCCTCTGCTCTGACCTGTGTTCCTGCTTCCCTATCTCACATCATTCTTATCTTCTCTTTCCTGGTCTTTCTTCACGCCCATTCCCTAGGGAAAAGTTACTTTTGGATATCCTCTACATAATACTTTTTCTATGCAGATTTCTGAATCCTGTGGGAGGAGATTTTGATTCTGACGGTCAGGAGTTTGGACTTTTTTTCCTGGACACAGGGACCTGAACTTAGAAGGGCCCTGCACTGGGCTCAGTGCTATGTGGTCACCATCTTGAAATGCTCAGTTTTTCTTACAAGGGCCACACATTTTCATTTTGCATTGGGCCTCATGAGCTATGTAGCTAGTCCTGCAGCATGGCGTGTTCTCAGAGGGTCAAGAGTCATGCAGTGCACTAGAAAAAAGGAACCGTCAGGACTGTTGGTGGCATCATTGGCATGGGGGGGATGAGGAGGGCAGGGAGGTTAGAGGAGGAGGGAAGATGGAACTGCCTTTCAGCAGTGCGCGCTCTCCCCTGGGAATTTCCTTAAAGTGCAGGCCGGGGTTGAAGGGCATGCTGGTAGTCTCCTTTTCAATCAACCAGGGATTATTTTGATCATAGTGAAAATATGATAGTTATATTTTAACCCGTTCATAGCCAACATTTCAACCTGTTCCTGAGGAATCCTGGCCATAATCTAGAAAAGGAATCTATGTCTCAAGGTAGATTGATTCGAGCCCTGGCCGGTTGACTCTGCTGGTTGGAGAGTCATACCATACACCAAAAGTTGTGGGTTTGATCCTCAGTCAGGGGACCTGTGGGAGGCAACCGGTTGATGTTCCTCTCTCTCTCTCCCTTCCTCTCTCTCGAAAATCAATAAACATATCCTTGTGTAAGGATTACAAAAGTAATAAATAAATAAATAAATAAATAAAGATTAATTCTAATAGTCCTGCCATGAAATTTAAACATCTCTTTCATCTAAACAGTTAATCTAATATAAAAGACAAGTTTATCCCAGAAAAGCCATGAACAAAAACTTAGAAGTGGCAGTTAGGTACTTTTTTAGCGGGTGTTAGGTGTAAAATGTTATGGTAGAGGTTCAGAAAAGAAATCCTGGGAGAGGAAACTTGGAAGAGGAGACTTGTTGATGAGGTGCTAGAATGGTGTTTAGGTGAAACTCAGGGGAGAAACATGGAGATTCGTGTGTGAGAAGGAAATAAAGAAAAACATGCAAGGTAATTGCAAACTCTTCAGAAAATAAAAGACATGTATACATCAATTTAAATAGAATGGTTTTTATAATGATCTACACGATAATAACAGAGGCATAGTTGAGATTGCAAATCTGTTTGCTTGTGTTCATTGTTTTGTTAGCTCTCAACAAATGTAAAATAATGATAAAAATCCATTCTGTAAACCATTTCAAACAGACTAGATCCCATTATAATTCATGGAATTTCAAACAATAGCATTTGAAGACCCTTTGCTGAAATGCTTTCAATACTGAGAATTGACCACTCTTAAAGAGAGTTCATTACAAATCATGATTTTGAAAATGAGAACTGAGTAAAATGTATATGTAAAATCCAGCTCTACCAGGCACATTGCTTTGTCTCTTATTTGCAGGGATCCTTTGGGAGCAGTGGGTTTCCGTAGGCCATAGTATATTTTGCTGCTGATTATCACGTTCAATCACGCATTCAGATATTTTTCTGCAAGTCTATTTCCATTGTGGGTTTTAACCCTAAGGGGCAAGTGAGGGTACATTGAACTAACAACCAAGTTTTAACACTGGGTACAGGGCATAAAGTGTTTAATACAAACTGCTGAAGCGAACAAGAGAATTACATTTTGCATACTTTCTTTTAATCTTGATTATCACACTGAGGTTGAGGTACAGAGGATAGGAAATTCGGCAGCCGAGGAAACCCCTATCCATGCACAGCATCCTGTGGAAGGAGACAAAGCTCCCTTAGAGAGATTTACCGCGACACATGCTGTTCACTCGTGTGACCTAAGGCGCATACATGTATTTTCATTAGTTTAGACTGAAAGCTTGTTCACACTTCCGTGACTTGTGTGTTTTTTAACATTAATACTTGATTTTTAAAAATATTAAAAGTCATATTTTCCCCTAATTTATAAATTTTATTTTGCTCTATATAATGCCAGTACATTTTTAAAAATCACTTTGAAAGCTCTTTGATTAATCTTTGGTCCCATTTAAAACCTAAGCACCTTTAAACATTTTCAATATATGTACATGTATGTAGTTTATGTATGAGCTTTATTTTCAAGTCCTTCAATTGTCTCTCTAACACCAAAACTTACTATGAATCTAATATATAATATGATACTGTATAAATTACACATATTAGCTTATATATATTGCTAAATTCTCCTTAATTTTTCAGTACTGTTTACAAACTATGTTTTACTTTGTCAACTTAATGATCATGAGTCTGAATCAATTATCCATATCAATTATTAATTTAGACAATATAAACATTTCAAATATAAGACAAACTATATATATATATATATCACAAAAAGTATGAATACTATGAACTGCATTTACTTAATCATCTTCAGATTTAGTTCTAAGCTGGCTAGAGTTAAAATAAACATATCCACCAGGGAACCAGTAACAGTATCCCACATTAATTTCATTTTTCTCTCCTGGTATATTTGGGTAAGCTGTGCTAAGGAAGTGGGATTTCCACGCAAGTGCCAGAGACCTTCTGTGAGACAGAGGGGCATGTAAGCCGGAGACCGGCCTGGGTGGGAAACAAGGGGCTGTAGACATCTGGTATAATTTTTTTCACCAGTAGACGGCCTTACTGAGCCTTTAAAAAATTATGGAACATACAATTATGCATTTTAAAATAAAAAGATTTGATGGCTTTTAGTGCATTCGCAGTGTTGTACACTCGCCGCTTTATTTAGTTCTAGAATATTTCCATTGTCCCAAACTAAAGCTCGCACCCACCGAACAGTGGCTGCCTGTCGTTCACTGCCCCCAGCTCTAGGTAACCACAAACCTGCTTTTTATTCCTGCGGAGCTGCCTGTCCTGGATATTTCATATAGATGGAAACATACAATAAATAAACGTTCATATCTAGCTTCTTTCTCTTAAAAATAATGTTTTTAAGGTCTGTCCATTGTATAATGTGTAGCAATAGTTTATTCCTTTTCAGGGTTGAATAATATTTTATTGTATGCATGTACTACATTCATCCATTGACAGACATTTGGGATTTCTAACTTTTTGATATTGTGAGTAATGCTGCTATGAACATGCCCATACATGGGTTTGTGTGAGCATCTGTACGTACCTGGCATTGCTGGGTTACATGGTAATTCTACGTTCAGCTTTCTGAGGAACTGGCAAACTGTTTTCACAGTACCTGAACCATTTTTTCACCCCCATTAACAGTGTATGAGGGTTTTAATTTCTGCACATTCTTACCTACATTTGTTTTCTTCCATTAAAAAAAAAATTTAGTAATCCCTAGTAGGTGTGAAGTGGTATCTCACACCTACTTTAATTTGCATTTCCCTAATGACTAATAATGTTTGAGACTTTTTAATTAACAGATTATGCTAACAGGGGACTCTGGATACCCAGGGCCCCTGAATTCATGCTAATTTTTTCTAATTAATCTCAAATGTATCTTCTGATCAGGGCAAATTATATCACGTTAACTTCCCTCCAAAACCCAAATTTATTCCCTATCTTTGCTCCAGAACATCACTGCATTCAACCAATATGTTAAATGTTTGTTTCTCCTCTGAATTCTCCTTTACAACCTTTCCACCTCACAGAACTGCTACTTCAAACAGATATTTGGATATCTGCATATATCTGCAGAATCTCCTTTAGATTCTGCATGTCTTTCCTGACTGCTTAGCAGCATGGTCAGTTTCTGAAGTCATTCTAATTATAATATTCTTAATTAACATTAAATATATAGGGGAAGTAGGAAATTTTGGACTGTGAGAGAAGTATGTTTTGATAGAACCAGACTGCAGTACATTAAGAATTAATAACCACTCATTTCAGAAACTTCCTTTTTAATCATATGACCACAATTTAGACTACGCTGTTGGAGCCATGATGATTTGCCTAAATTGCCCTGGTGGTAATTGAGACATGGGAGGAAGCAGGCGAACTGGTGTGTTCTTTCCCACGCCCACCCGCAGGGTTTATACGTGATGGACAGGAGGTGGAGTGAGGTACAGACGGCTCAGATGGGGGCAGACCGGAAACTAGTTTGGGGGCTGTTGACCACGTCCTCAGTGGTGCTTTTTATGCATGGCCCAAGAGCTGCACTGAGGTACAGGGAGGCTTATACGACACCTAAAGCTACAGAACAGTCCACATCGAATGCCACAATCTTTCCATGAAAGTTAGTTCCTATGAACACTGTTACCCCAAATGAGGAACCAAAAAGCAGAAGCGGTAGGGGAAAATATGCTCTTTTGCATCTAACTTCCAAGATCTTCAACTCTTGGACAATTGTATGGTACAAGTTGAATGGAAAATTATAAATTGTCATTCAAATATAAAACAGTATTGTTTTTATTGTTCCACTAATAAATTGTATGCTGGAGACAGAGGAGACAGGAGGGGATCTCAGTTGATTCATGCCACAAGAAAGGTCTTGTGTAAACACAAGGCCAGTCAGGGACTGGCAGTGGCCAGCAGTGGCCAGCAGTGACCAGCCCTCAGAAATTTAAATAAAATCATCACCATAACAGGAGATGGCTTTTTTCTTCTCTTCTGCTTTGGCAGCTTCAAAACAACCACTATTTTAAAAGAGTCCCAAGAGGACTTTGGGGGCACCCAGAGTCCCAGCCTCCCTCTGGCCCTAATGAAGGAGGAGGAAGGACGTGCTTGGCTTTGATGTACAGCCGTAGGTTTTCTAATGAGGTAGGCAAGAGATCAGATTCCATTAGGATGTCTCCTTTCTAGCCTTGATTATTCAGCAGCCCTGTTGAAATTAGCTGTTCATTTATCCATGAGCAGCTGCGTGCAGGGTTGGACAGTTTTGCTTGTAGTATGAAACTGAGTGGGTCTGGGCTGGAGCACTCCTGAATATTTATTTAACTCAATTATTTCTTTGTGCCATGTTTTTCTTGTTCTAAGCAATAGCACTAGATTCTAAAACCACTCAAATTTCACCATAAAAATGACCAAGAAATGTGATCTGGATTGTAAACCACAGCTCAGTTCTAATATGAGACAAATTCTTTCTGTCCCTTATGCCTGTTTCTCTTTCATGCGACGTTAATGCCTATTTTGGCTCGTCATGTCACAGCTGCAAAGCAGGGTCGGTCCCTCCTGTTTGCCTGTTCTTATAAGCTCCCTGCAGGGCTGCCAGAAAAGTCACATTCATGACTGTCAGACCCTGGCAGGAGCAATGACAGAGTAGGGGCCAGCTCTGCTCATTGTCCTGGGAAGGCGTGTAAGGACTAGATGAGGCTTTGCTGGAAGGTCAAAGAAGAAGGAATGAAGGATGACCCTGAGACAGGGCAGACATTTAGCACCGAGTTGAAAAACTGAGAGGGCTGGATGGGATCTTCTCTCTGTGTCTCTCTGTTCCTCTGTGTCTGTCTGTCTATCTCTTTCTCTTACACACACACACACACACACACACACACACACACACGACATTCTGATCAATAGAATTGTTGAAATACAACTAGGTCAATGGGCCACCAGAAGTACAAGGGTTTCTTCCTTTTGAATACTCACTGATCAAGATAAATAAACTTTATTATGTGTTTTGGTTTATAAGACCTCTGTGTTATTGATTTAACAGCTCCACTGCCTATATTTCCCCTACATTTGTCAGCTGCTTGAGTTAATTTACTACATTTGTCCTAGTGAAACTTGAGGTACCCAAATATGGAAAGCTCCTCGGGGACCTTCAAGCTCCTTGGGAACTGACTCCCAAGTTCTTTGCACTTTGAGATAACTCGGGCCAAACAAAACTGTGGCCCTGTGGGAACTGGCTCTGCCACTCCTCCCCCCGCCTTTCCACCCGATGCTGGAATACCTTCTACATTTCTCACATCTTCTGAAGAGCTTCATGGTTTTATTTATTGTTCTTTGGGCCATTAGATTGTTTACATTGTTAATAGGTCTCATTCAGAGCTTCCAGTGGTTCTTTAATTGCCCTGCGTGTGTTTTCTGAGTTGGGCCCCAACCTCACCTGCTCACATTGTTTTATGTTTGCTGGGAACTGTTTGAGGGAATGTACCATGGAAGCTGATGACACAGACAACTGATGTTTTACAATGCTCCATTGTTCAGAAGAGCGCCCTGTAACTGATGTTGGCAAATTCATTCAAGTATGTTAAGAAAGATGAGTTTGACATCTTTGTTAAACAATAGAAAATTAAGGCAAAATGGACTGTTTTATATGTCTTTAAAATGCAAAGTCTAACTATGACCTATTTAGCGTGAAGTCTAAACTCATCCTCTGCCTCCATAATTGTGCGTTTGTGCCGTCTCCATATCCCTGTGCTGCTCACTCTCCTTGGAGGGTCTGTGCCCTTGCTGTAGTGGATGTCCTTTTAAGAGACCTCCCCTTAGCTTCCTCCTGGATTAACTGTCACTGTAAACTCTCCCTGTGAGGTGTGCAGGGCAAGTCCCAGGGTATGCTAGATCCTTGCAGCTGATGGCTACTCTTACATACTTTTGCTTTTACTGACCGAGTTGTTGGATAACTAAAAATAAGATGTGTTTTCTTCAAACTTGTTTACACTAGTTGTTATTGTGATACTGTAAAATAATTAAGCATTAAATGAGTCAACAAAATTTGAGTGCCAAAGGAAAGAAGGTCATTACAATGAAAATCAAATGCTTGGAAAAGCATGAAAATGGGCATTTTAAGACAAATGCTGTCAAATTAGGCATTGGCAAGAAAACTATATAAGACAAATAAAGTACTAAAAATCAAGAAGGATTCTCTACTCATATTGTTCTACAATTTTCTCCACATTCTGGCTCCCATTTAAAGAAACTGGAGATTGAATAGTTAATGGGTTATGGGTGTGATCTATATAGGAAAGGAAATAAGGGAACTCCAGGTACAAGGCTTACGCTTAAAAGAAAACCTTGGTCCTATAATCAAGTAAATTGGTGCACAAATGCTCAACATATGTTACTGTTTAAATTAAGTATTTCAGGTATCTGTTATTTTTACATAATTTACCGCTCTGATTAATTGCCCATCTGTCTGAACCAATAGCTGATAAAAGGATTTCCAATGTACAGACCCTTTAACAGACTTCTTAGTTGCAGTTTCCTCCAGGAAGTTCTCTCTGACTCTCGTCTCCAGCCTGGGTGAAGAATCCCTCATCCTGGCTCCTGGCTGTTTGTCCACCACAGTGTTTCATGAGGCCATAACTGTTTGCTTCATTGTCTGTCTCCTCCACTGGGCTGTTACCTTGCTGAGGCAGGGAACTCTATTATAATCTCCATAGTCTTAGATCCTAAAATACTGCCTGGCCCCAGGGTGGATGTACAAATGCTCACTGAATGAATGCTGAAAGACAGACTTCGTTGAAGTGTTGATGGAACAACCAAGATTAAAAATAACAGGTATATTACTTTGTGGAAAGACCATGGAAAAATTTTGTTGGTATGGGGGTCATTTCTCCATTATTTAAGATGTGTTACATCATGAGCTTAAAGAGAAACTAGGTGGGGGTCAAATATATTTTATTGCTTGCATTGTTTTGACACATATTCTAACTGCAAGATATTTCTAAGGGTCTTTTCCACCCTGCAGAATTTTCCTTCCCCTGTTTATTTGCTTTCCACGTGCTGTGTTCTGCTCCCACTGGCTAATGAGCAGGCTGTGGACCAGGGCTGGTTCCACCCTGCACTGGCTGGGAGAGCCTCAAAGAATCTCAGTCCTTCTGTTTCAAGTCTTGTTTATTCTTCTTCCTCCCTTCCTCAGTCTCAGTAGACATGTGCTTCTAGTCTGGGAATCTAGAGGAGTTCTTAAGGCCACGTATCCTGTTTCCTTTAATAGATTTCCAGGCTAACTAAGCTAAGTGTTCGCTTCCTTTTTGTCTTTTACATTCTTTAATTCCCTGGTCTTACCTCTTTAATCAAATGTCTTGCTTTAATTTTCCCTTGCCCTGTGGCATTTGGTTCATGTCCAGCCATAAAAGGTTCCATTTTGTGTACGTTTTAAAAAGTGGCCCGCAACAGGAAATATTTCATCCGAAGTGAACATTGCCGTTTGGACACCTAGAAGTTTAGAACCGCATGGTCTGCAGCAGGATCAGCCACAGAACACAGGTGACACAGGCACAGTTTAGCAGCGAATTTTTAAATGAATCTATTTATGATAAGCAGCAGCTTAATGGGGGTTTTGTAAGCACATAAATACTGAATCCGATGCTTCTCATTTGCTATAAGCTTTGCTGTTTTTCTGGAGTCCTCTGAAAGGAATGCCAAATTAAAAAAAGAGGGAACTTAAGAAATAAAACTCTCTTTATTAAAAAGACATGATTATCTCTATTAAAAAATCCCAAAGGATTCTCAAAATGAACTACTAGAAGTAGCATGAGAATTTATCAAGTTCATTGGATGTAAGGTCTCAACCTATGGAAATCAAATGTATTTCTATATATTAAAATAAATAATTGGAAATTAAAATTTAAAAATTTATCCTTTACAATAGCATCAAAACCATGAAATATGCATGGATAACTGTAATAAAATATTTGCAAGGTTTGTACGCCAAAAAGTATAAAACTGGTGGGAGAAATTTTTAAAGAATAAATAGAAAGATATAGCATGCTTATGCTTTAGAAGGCTGAATATTAAGATGTCAGTTCTCTCCAAATTTATCTATAGATTTGAGACAATCTCAATTAAAATTCCGACAATTTTTTGAAAAACATTGGCATGTTGATTCTAAAATATGTATGGGAAAGCAGAAGACCTGGCATAACTAAAGCCATTCTGAAGAACGAAGTGGAATGACCCACAGTGCCTGCATGTAAGGCAGCTGTCCCTGCCTTCTGTGCAGTTCGGCTTTCCGTGCTTTCAGTTACCCTTGGTCAACTGCAGTCTGAAAATATTAAATGGAAAGTTCCAGAAATAAACAATTCATAGGAGTGTGATGAAATCTCCCAGTGTCCTGCTCTGCCTCACACAGGGTGGGAAACATCCCTTTGTCCAGCTTCTCCAAATTGTGGGTGCTCTGCACGCATTAGGTCTTAGTATGCATCTTGGTCATCAGATCTACTGTCACAGTGTCAAAGTGCTTGTGTTCGAGTCACAGTTATTTTACTGGACAATGGCCCTAAAGTGCCAGAGTGGTAATGCTGGCAATTCAGACGTGCTGAAGAGGAGGCATAAGCTGCTTCCTTGAAAAATGTATGTATATATTGTGTACATGGGTTTTCCCATACATATGGTACTATGTATGGTACTTTCCTATTCATATGGTACTATCCAAAGTTTCAGGCATCCATTGGGGTTCTTGGAATATATTCCCTATGCATCGGGGGTATAACTGTATTACATAAAGCAAAAAAAATAATACAGTGTGGTGTTGCTGAAAGGATAGATAGATAAACACATGGGAAAGAATAGAAAGTCCAGAAATAGGTGTATTGCCAGTAGTCCCTGGCATTCCTCGGCTTATGGATGTGTCACTCCAGTCTCTGCCTCTGTTGTCGCATGGCTGTATTCTTTCCACATGTCTCTGTTTTTGTGTCTCTTCCCCCTTCTTATAAGGACACCACCCTACTCTAGTATGACCTCATAAATAATTATATCTGCAATGACTTTATTTCCATATCAGATTATATTCTTAAGGACTGGGGGGGTGTTGAAGACTTCAACCTATCTGTTTTGGGGAGTACATTTCAACTCATAACATCATACATACCAACAATCTTACTACTAGGTATTTATCCAGGAGAAATGAAAACATATGTGTTTATAAAGACCTGCATGAGATGTTCATAGCAGCTTTATTCATAGTCACCCAAAACTGGAAACGGTCGAACCATCTAGCAACTGTAAATGGATAAACTGCTGTCCAAACACCTGCACAATGAGATACTCTTTTACCACATGGCAATAAAAGAACCAAATTATTAATACATCCATGAAACGTGGAGGAATCTCAAAGCAATATGTTAAGTAAAAAAAGTTATATCAAAAAGAATAAAAACCCTATAATACCATTTATTCAACATTCTGGAAAAGTCCAAATTAAGGGGTAAAAATCAGAGGAGTAACTAACCCTCAGTTGGGACTGGAGGTGGGTGGGGAGTACTGGTCACAAAGGGGCAGAAGGCAACTTTCTCAGGTGAAGAAAATATTCTCTTTCTGCAGTGGTGATTATATAGTCATATATATACCTTTGTCAAAATTCATAGAACTATGCATTAATTATAAAGAGTAAACTTTACTGTATATAAATCCTACCTTAATAAAACTTTCACAAAAATTCTAATAACTACAATTTGAAAATCAGAAGTACTTAAAAAAAATAGAACCCAAGGTTCTTTAAGATATTACTGTGGGCAATCTACATAGTTGATCCTTGAACACTGTGGGGAGGGCCTGACAACCCCCCCCACCACCTGCCACCCCAACCCATGCAGCTGAAAACTCACATATAACTTTTGACTCTGCCAAAACTTGGTTGTCCCTTGGTATCTGCACGGACTTGGTTCCAGGCCCTTTGCAGATCACAAACTCCATAGGTGCACAAGTCCCTTATATAAAATGGCGTAGAACAATGTCTACAGTCAGCCTCCACATCTGAGGACCCCACTGTGGATAGAAAACAGTCCACATATAGGTAGATCCATGAAGTTCAAATCATGTTTTTTTATTCAAAGGTCCAGTGTATATAAACTATTATGATTTGAGGAATTAAGTTTTCTAACAAAGATCGTTAGACATATTAAGGTTAATGAGAATTAGTAAATATCATTGTAGATTCCCTTGGCTGGAAATCAAGAAAGGAAACCTTTGAAGAGTCACGGTGCATACTTTGGGGGAATGGTCTTCTAATAATTACAGAAAGCATCCCTTAAGACAACCCAAGACTTAGAAAACCTAAATGGTAAGCAGCAATGAAGCCCCCAGCCTGGCTTCTAGGTGTGCCTCAGGCTATTTCTTTGGCATCTTCCTGAATGTTCTGTTCCCCTGACAGCCCTTCCCCAGATGTGACTGTGTTCCGCCTTCCCTACCAGGACAACTTGCTCTTGGTTTTTATCTGTCCCGGCTTTGGACTTGGCATTCTACTTTTATCTGAAGTCCACTATAGAAAACTACATACAGGGTGGGGCAAAAGTAGGTTTACAGTTGTTCATATGAAAAATAATACAATAAGTCCTGGCTGGTGTGGCTCAGTGGATTGGGTGCTGGCCTGTGAACCAAAGGGTCACTGGTTCCACTCCTTAGTCAGGGCCCATGGCTGGGTTGCAGGCCAGGTTCCCAGTGGAGGGCACTCAAGAGGTAACCACAAACTGATGTTTCTCTTCCTTTCTTTCTCCCTCCCCCTCTCTAAAAAAAATAAGTAAAATCTTTTTAAAAAGAAAAATAATATAATAATTAATAACTGATAATACAAGAATAAACTGTTTTGCATACTCACAACTGTAAACTTACCTTTGCCCCACCTTGTACTTCTATGTTTCAACTCAAAGAAGCCATCGATTATGAAATGATGATATATTAAGCTTCAAATGACAGAATACATAATGTTATGTTAAATCATATTAATGTATGTAAACCTTTTATTAAGACTGTCTCTTGTATGACTTGAGTGCTTCTTGAGCAAGACCAAGGCTCTCTCGCTCACTTCCTTTTTCAGGTATAACAGACATGTATCTCCCCCAAGGAAAGGGCCCCAGCCTTCAGGTGCAACCCTCTTTTTTTGCAGATATTCTTATCTTAATAAGCAAGAAGCGCTTATAAGGAACATAACAAGAATAACACACATGCGACAGGAAGGTTTGTTTCCTGAATCTTTAATTCACAGTGAAAACTAGGGCATGACCTTCAAGAAAAAAATCTTAAAATATCTGATGTCTTTCTCCCTGCTAACTTCCTTTTCCTTTCTGGCCTTTTATTTCCTCTTCTTCCTCCTGCCTCACTCCTGTCCCTGGGCAGTTAGTTCTTCCTCTCCGTCTTCCTTCTTTTTTTCTCTTATTGCTCCCTCCTTCCTTCCTTCCTTCTTTTCCTCCTTCAGCTTTCATTTGCCCACCTGCTAATCTAATTTTTACCTAAGTTTTCCTACTCCTCACTCTTTTTAACTGGCTATTATAAGGGACTCAACATGTATCTTCCATTATTGCTGTTTTTATTTAATAAAGTTTTGTGTTTCCAATAAGCTCAGGAGAAAATCTGCTGCACACTTACCAACCATACACTCACTGGATCTTTCCACTTTTTTTTGTACCAGGCAGACCTAGGCGAGAAAACAATACCCTTTATCAGCTTCTTGGTGTGATTCCAGCTCATGCATATTCATATTTCCTACCTCATTAGTAGTCCCCCGGGCTTACTCAGAGTCATCAGGAGAGCACTGGGAATTGTGGAAATCTCAGCTAAGACAATGCCCCTTGTCTCTTCATTTGCCTTGATATTTTTTTTGAGCACTGTTTCCAATCTCCCCACAGAACTGCTTATTGGATTCTTTTCCTACATATAAACCTGAATCTTAAGAACGTTATTCTAGCAAATGGACAATGTGCTCTATGTTCAGCTTTATCAAAATTCTGAATGAAGATACTCAGTTTGGCCTTCCACAAGGAGATAGAATCAGTTTTGAAAACATCATCTCTAAGAACCTTTATAAAACACAGCAGGTAAATGTGTATTGTCTTTTAGAAAGACTTAGAATAACTGTAATAAAAATGCTTGAAGGAATAAACTGTTAGGCAAAGGTTTGGGAGGGTAATTATTTTATATTATTGGGAAGTCATATTTTAAATAATTTAAATAATATTATCATACTGATAGCTCTCTCCTTGTGCTAAACATTGAGAGGATGAAAACATTGACTCTTGCCTGCATGCAAGATTTACAAGGTAATTAGGGGGAAAAGATATGTACAAAAATTATAATGCACAACAGAGAACAAGTTTATTAGCTTCTTGAGTACGGGCACAGTGCTTCTTACTGAACTCACCTTCCAAATCTAGCTCACTCCTTTGTACACAGAGATAGCTGATAGGTGTTTTAGAAATATTGAGTGTTATAAAAGTAAAATAAAGGAAGCAATTCATCTAGATTATAAGAGTTAGGAAAGCCTTCTGGCGGAAGTAGAACGTGAGCTGAAACTTAACATATGGGTAGAATTTGGACCTGTTAAAAGGGGGAGGAACAACATTCTTGCCAGGGGAAACAGCATAAACAGAATTCAGAGGTGGGAGCAAGTGTGCTCATGCCAGAGTGAAGAAAATTGGCTGGAGCAATGTTCATGTTAGCCAGGTCAGGGTTTACTGTTTAAAAGGCCAATAAGGGTAATTATTAATTCTCTCAAACAGGATCATTCCCACCAGCTTACAAAGAACCTAACAAGAATTACATGGAGATCTCAACATGCCATTGATTTTTTTTCCATTTACAAACCAAACCAAACAATTAAGCAGAACCTTTCTTGGCTCTATTCTCCTTTATTTACTGCCCTTGCAAAAGTTGCCTGGACCAGCTGCCTCCAGCACCTCTCCTCCGTTCTTTCTTGGAGCTGTCTGTCCCAGCTGGGTTTCCATCCTGCTGCTCCTTGAGTGACATTTGAGTGGTACTCCGACAGTCACCTCTCAGTTGCCATCTCACTCCACCTGCAGGAGACTGTTAACCACTCTGTTCCTTGAAACACTGGACTCACTTGGCCTCCAGGATCTGTACTGTCTTGGTTTTCATTCTTTCACTGGCCATTCATTCTCAGTCTGCCTTTCTAGTTAATGACCTGGCTAATATGCTGCAGCCCATTTTCTTCACCTTCTGACCTCTCTAAGTTGGGGTAAGCCAGGGCCTAGACCTCAGTTACTTGGTGATACACGCAGTTTCCTGGCATTTGGTATCATATACCCTTTGATGACTCCTAAATTTTAGTTTCAGCTGTGAGTTCTCCTTCTTACTCTACACTCATATCCAACTACTTACTGGATATCTTCATTTAGATCATGAAGGGCGTCTCAGACTCAACATACCCAAAGCTGAACTTCCTGTGTTCTCTCTAAAAGCAGTTCCTCTCATAGCCTCTTCCTCCTCAGAAAAGGGAAATCCATCCTTTCAGGGCTTCAGGCCCCCAATATGAAGTCACCCTTGAATCTCTTTTTCTCCCTTTCCACATCTAATCCAGTTACAACTCCTGTTGATTTCACCTTCAAAATATTCATAATGTAATTGTTTCTTATCACTCTGGTTCAAAGCACCACCTTCACTCTCCTGGACCAATGAAACAGCCTTCTAAATGTTCTTTCTGAGTCTACCTCTGGTCTCTCAGAGTCTATTTTCAACCCATCGCTAGGCAATTCACTTAAAATGTACATCTGACCAGGTCTGTCCTCTGTCCAAAACCCTCCATTGTTTTCCTGGTTTGCTCAGAGTGAAAGCCAGACTCCCTGATACAGTAGCTTACAATAGGGCCTTCTGGAATTTGTTTTGCCTTCCCCCCATGACCTCTCTGACCCCATCATCTATCATTTTTCCTGTTCATATTCTCTGGCCATGCTGAACTCTCACTGTGCCCTGAATTTGCCATGTGAACTAGCCTCAAGACCTCTGCGTCTGCTAGTCTAGCTGCTCAGAGAGCCTGTCCTCCAGATGCCGGCGGAAGGAACTTCCTCATGTCTCTGGGTGTTTGCTCAATAACACGTTCTCAGAGAAAACTTCCCTTGCCACCCTATTTAAAATTACACGTTCCTGCCACCACTTTGCATCACCTGCCCAGCTTTATTATTATGTTTCTATAGTGTAGCAATAATGAAGGCTGTCTGACAAAGCATATGCTTTTGTTTTTCTTGTCTTTTTCTCTTTTCTTCCTTTCTCCCTTCCTTCCTTCTTCCTTTCCTGTTTGATTCCCTCTTCTACAAAGCAATATACATCCCATAACGGCAGGGATTATTTTTCTGTATTGTTCATTGTTGTATTCTCAAAAACTAGAACAGTGCCTGGAACAAACAATGTGCTTGAGAAACACTTGTTGCACAAAAGAATGAATAAACCCCCATTTTACTAATGAGAAAACTGAATCTTAGAGAAGTTCAATAACAGCCAGGCTCGCTCAGCTGGTAAGCCGGAGCTTTTGGATGCAAACTTATATCGGTTGGACTGAGGACATAATCATTATGATATTGGGCTTTTTAATCAGCAAAGCAACCATTCTTTATCTTACACAAAGCATGATGTTGTTTTTTTCAAGGCATTTTTATTATGTTATGATGGCTTTTCCTTAACATGAAAAATTTGATATTTTCCCCATTATTGGAAGTCATAACTTGCTCAAAAATAAGTAAGAATGGTATTTATCTTTCTTTGCCTGACATGTCACTGAGCATAATGATGGCTTCTAGGTCATCCACACTGTCACAAATGGCAATATTCTATTCTCTTTTATGGCTGGGTAATATTCCATTGCATATATTTGTATAATAGCTTTTTTTTATAGTTGGGGTACTGGAAATAGCAAGGGGAACACTATGTAAAGTATATGATTATCTGATCGTTATGCTGTATACCTGAAAACAATACAAAATAAAATTGAAAGAAAAAAGTAAGAAAACACAAAGCAACACAATAGCAGCATCATTTGGTACCATTCGGTAGTTCTATCACATACCTGCAGCATCTTCATGTCTCCATTCTAAACCCTTCCCTTGATAATCTGTAGCAACATGTAAAGAAGAGCACTATTGTATTGACCTAATTAAGATTAAGAAGATTAAAATAAATAAATAAATAACTATAAAAGAACATCTTAATTCCAAATCCACATGTCACTTTATAGATTACTAAAGGTTTGATTTTAGAATTCGTCTGTATTTTGAGAAGATAGGAAAAATCAGAAATTGAATTAAATGTGTTATCCAGAATAGTAAAGTAGCTTTAAACATTTTATGACAGAAGAAATATTCATAGTCCTTCATAATGTGGCTTATATGTTTTCATATTAAATGTACCAAGAAAATTAGGAAATAATTATCTAGACACATATTTTGATATTATTTATATGTAATAATATTTAAGACCCTGCTCTTTCGAAATCCTTGAGTCTACTATTTCTGAATATGTGTAAAGTTCTTTCTTCATAGTAATAATTCTGATCAGCAACTGTAATTCATAAGAAAATATTTTTTTATAGGAGTAAACTTCCCCAGACTTTATATATTTAGCTTAGTTGAATTCATTATTATTGGCTCTTTAGGACAACTGTTTAGGGGGAAAGAAAATCATTTTTAAAATAAAAATGGTTATATTTAAAGTGTATAGCATGCTGATCTGATATTTATACATAGTAAAATGATTACCACAGCCAAGCTAATTAACATATCATCTCCTGACACAGTTACCATTTTCTGTGGTGAGAGCATCTAAAATCCACTCTCCTAGCAAATTTCCAGTGTACAATACAGTATTGATGACTGTAGTCATCGTGCTGTCCATTGGATCTCTAGATTTATTCATATCGCTTCACCCAATCTTCCCACCTCCCTGCCTTTGGTAACCACCATTCTACCCTCTGTTTCTATGTATTTAACATTTTTAGATTCTGCTTATAAATGAGATCATGTAATTCTTTTCTTACATTTGGCTTATTTCACTTAGCATAATGTTCTTCACCCATATTTTTGCAAATGGCAGGATCTCCTTTTTAAAAACTGGATAATATTCCATTGCATACTTATATCATAAAATCTTTATCCATTCATCCATCAGTGGACACTTAGGTTGTTTCTGTGTCTTGGCTATTGTGAACAGTGCTGCAGGGAGGAGATAGTGCCGAAATCTTCTGGAAGCACCAATTTCATTTCTTTTGCATGTATACCCAGAAGAAAGAATGTTGGGTCATATGGCAGTTACATTTTTTTGAAAAAAACACTTCTTAAAGGAATAAGCAATTTGGAATTTTAATGAAAGAAAAAATAAAATAAAAGCTGCTTCTCTGGATCTGAGAGGAGAAGTATTGTACAGTTTGTACGGGATCAGCCTGGTGGATGTGGCTTGCTGTTGCTACGGCTTGGGCAAGAGTGTATACTGTGCGGGTCAGTTGGAAGGAAAACAGTATTCCTTCCAGGGGATGTCCACTCAATGAGGACTGAGTTTCCATGGTTCAGGCAGAATTTGATAGAGGTGGATTTGAAACATGATGGGAAAAGTAGTGGCTTGGTTTTGTGACTTAAGTTGATCTGGAGTCTGAGAGAGGAAATGAAGATTATCTTAAAGCTGAGGCCACAATTATTAGTAGTCTTCTTGAAAAGGTGCATATGGATAAGTAGACAAGTTAAGAGTGAAAAGAGAAGTTCCATTTTTCATTAGTCATGATGGTAAATTATCTCTCAAAAAGATTAAGAATATCTCTAGCCAAGCTAAGAATTGGCACTAGCAAATTGTTCTTAAAATCAATGTCCATAGTACTAAGTTGTTCCTATTTTATGAGAAAATTTTAATTGCTGATGCAATTCATTGAAAGTTTATGAAACATTACATTTTCTTATTTTATCCCAAGTCAGTTGCAATATTTTTTCCATTTCATCTAACTTTTAAATAAAATTGTTAATTGTCCAGAGTATTTTTGTATTTTCTTTTTAGCCTTCACATATCTCTAATTAGGTCTGCATTTTCATTTTTAATATTGTTTTACTTGTTCTCTTCTGTGTGTCTTTCTATGTCTCTCATTATTTTGGACAGAAGTTTGTCAATTTTACTGTTTTTTTTAAAGAAAAAGAGTTAATTTCCATTATACCTTTGCATCTCTTTACTCCCTTTACCCTTTTAAGCAGTCTTTTACCCACCGATGTAGATGACAGCAGATGGCTTAAGCAGTTGTCGTAGTCAAAAATGATCTGGGGAAAGCAGGTGCGTGTCGAAGTATGGTGTCCTGCTATGTGTCTCAGCTGTTGACTTGCAAAAGCGAGGTCATCAGAGCAAGGCAGGTTGTTCTGAACAAGGACAGTGGCTGTTTGTGAGGTAAATGGGGAGAATTACAAAACATCTCCACAAATTGCCTCTGGGTGCCCTAGTAGACTCTAGTCTTTTCTCATTCATTCTTTCTCCTTATAAAGTGCAAATTTTATTAATGTTAACATTATCCACTTAAAGCTAACATTAAGTAGACTTTTAATTCATGTTAAGTTTGGGTGGAACAAATAGAAGAATGTTATCATGTGAAAAGCTCAGGAAATTTATATGTCAATGTCTGGGTAATCCAGTTCTCTAAGCAAGGTTAATAAGCAAACTTTCTCTGGCAAAATTTAACTTTAAATGCAGTTTGGACTTTACTTTTAAACTAAAATTGGATTGAGCAGGACTCCTTTCCAGCCAAGCCTAGGAAGCAACAGAAACACCATCAGTGCTATAATAAACACACACACACAAAGGTATGAGGAGGGACCCCCCAAAAACTGGAATTACTTCTGGAAGAGGGACACCTTCTAGTTCAGGCATACCCATGCTATGTGAGTGTTTCTAGCAACCTGTCTGTATCACTGTACCAGCTGGTGTTGTAGTGAGAGGCTGCATTTGGCTTCAGTGAAATTGTTTTTGAAGACTCTGTCAGTGCATTCGCCCATTTCATGATGGGTGGTTTCCAAGCACACCTGTCCACACTGCTCTGAGTGTTCAGCAGTTTTTGATAAAAAAATGGCATGACCCCTGAGCTCTACCCTCCCTATTCAACTGATCTAGCCCTAAGTGACTTTTTAAAATTTCCCCAAAGGAAAAAAGTCCTCAAATGGAAACGTTTTGCAGATGTAGAAGAGGTAAAATGAAAAAATAGAAGCACTAAAAAGTATCAAAATCAGTGAGTTCAAAAACTGTTTTGTGCAGTAGGAAAAACATCTCAATAGATATATTGCATCAAATGGAGAGCACTTTGAAAGTGACAAGTTTATACTTTGGGTTCTCCCTCATAATACACACACACACACACACACACACACACACAAAGTTATACACACACATATATTCAGATATATATATATATATATATATATATATATATATATATATATATACTAGAGTACTTCAATTTTTATACAGAAGAGCATGTCTAAATCTGTATTTTACTATAGAATCACTAAGAATTAAATCCGGAGCAAACAGCCGCTGCTGAGTTAAATATTGTGTCCTAAGTCTCAGAACCAGGTGGTGGCAGAGCCAGGACTAACATCTCCTCTAACCTGGCCTAGTCTTCACTTCACTACTCCATACACTTATTTATTGCATCACTTAAAACATATGTCAGTACATACAAATGGCATTTAATTATTTATTACCAATGCAAGAGTTTCAGGGGCTACTTCCCGTTAATAGAAATGTGTGTATCTGGAAAGTATATCAGAAAGAAAAAAGTGTTGGAGCAAAAATATTCTCAATGAATTGGCCATTTGTTTTGTATGTTAATTATTTGAATAAGGAAACATATAGAAATAGTCTTTATTATGCTTCAATGTAGAGATGGTTGGTTCGCTCATTGTTAGCTGCTGTTAAAAATATCTTAAGATCAGCAACTTCTGGCCAAGAGGGAGGCATAGGTACATACAGTTCACCTCCACACATAACCAAGAGAAGGACAACAACAGATTTAGAAACAAAAAACAAGCCTTGGCTGGTGTAGCTCAGTGGATTGAGCACGGGCCTGCGAACCAAAAGATTGAGGTTCAGTCCCCAGTCAGGGCACATGCCTGGGTTGCAGGCCAGTTCCCAGCAGGGGACCCACGAGAGGCAACCATACATTGATATTTCATTCCTTCTTGTCCTTCTCTCCTTCCCTTCCCCTCTAAATATATATAAATAAAATATTTTTTTAAAATAAATAAAAACAAAAAACAACTAGAACTGCCAGAAAATCAAACTGTATGGAAGTCCAACAACCAAGGAGTTAAAGAAGAAATATTCATTCAGACCCCGTAGGAGGGGTGGAGATGGGCAGGCGGGGCAGAGAGGATGCATGGCAAAGTGGTGGCTGGTGGTCCCACATTTGTGTGCACATAAATCAGGAGGAACAACCTGGGAGTAAGACAGACCACACAACACAGGGTTCCAACATAGGAAAGAAAGCCTCAAACCTCTCACTGAAAAAAAAACCTGTGGAGGTTGTGGCAGTGGGAGAAGCTCCCAGCCTCACAAGAGAGTTCATTAGAGAGATCCACAGGGTCCTAGAACATGCACAGACCCACCCATGCAGGAATCAGCACTAGAAAGGGCCCAGTTTACTTGTGGGTAGAGGAGGAAGTGACTGAAACCTACTGAGAGCCAAGCAAGCAGTATTGTTCCCTCTTTGATCCCTCTCTGACATAGGGCACCACAATGCAGCAATGTGGGTTCTCCCATTCTGGTGAATACCTAAGGCACTGCCCCTTACAATGTAACAGGTGCACCAAGACAAAGAAATATGGTCTAAATGAGAGAACAGATCAAAGCTCCATACATAGAACCAAGTGATGAAGAATAGCCAACCTATCAGATGCAGATTTCAAAACACTGGTAATCAGGATGCTCATAGAACTGATTTAGTATGGTCTCAAAGTAGAGGAAAAAGTGAATGCTGTGAAAAGTGAAATAAAAAGAAATATACAGGGAACTGACAGTGAAGGGAAGGAAATCAGGACTCAAATGAATGATTTGGATCAGAAGGAAGCAATAAACATTCAATCAGAACAGAATGAAGAAACAAGAATTCAAAAATATGAGAAGCTTAGGGACCTCTGGGACAACCTTAAATGCCCCAACATCTGAATCATAGGGGTGCCAGGAGGAGAAGAGGAAGAGCGAGAAATTGAAAACTTACTTGAAAAAATAATGAAGAAGAACTTCCCCATCTGGCAAAGGAAATAGACTTTTAGGAAGTCCAGGAAGCTCAGAGAGTCCCAAAGAAGTTGGACTCAAGGAAGCACACACCAAGGCACATCATAATTACATTACCCAAGATTAAAGATAAGGAGAGAATCTTAAAAGCAGCAAGAGAAAATGAGACAGTTACCTACAAAGGAATTCCCATAAGACAATTAGCTGATTTCTCAAAAGAAACCTTGCAGGCAAGATGAGGCTGGAAAGAAGTATTCAAAGGCAAGAAAGGCAAGAACCTACATCCAAGATTATTCTATCCAGCTAAGCTCTCATTTAGAATGGAAGGGCAGATCAAGTGCTTTCCAGATAAGGTCAAATTCAAGGAGTTCACCATCGCCAAGCCCTTATTTTATGAAATGTTAAAGGGACTTATCTAAGAAAAAGAAGATGATCAAAAATATGAACAGTAAAATGACAACAAACTCACAACTATCAACAACTGAACCTAAAAAAAACAAAGTAAGCAAACAACTAGAATAGGAACAGAATCACAAAAATGAAGATCACATGGAGGGTTATCAGTGGGGAGGGGTGGGGGGAGATGGGGCAAAAGGTACAGGGGATAAGAAGCATAAATGGTAGGAACAAAATAGACAGGGGGAGGTTAAGAATACTATGGGAAATGGAGAAGCCATGGACATGAACAAAGTGGGGAAATGCTAGTGGGAGTGGGTGTGCAGGACAAAGGAAAATCAAAGGGAGAAAAAATGGGACAACTGTAATAGCATAATCAATAAAATATACTTTAAAATATCTTAATGTTTTTGACAGAATGAGAGTTTGAATGTTTTTCCCCCTCACTGCTTTTTAGAAATTTTAGTTTTAATATACAGGAAGACTCTCAGGAAATCCTTTTTTTCTGGTTTTTGATTCATGTGAAGAAAAAGATGTAAAACTCAGGTCTTTGCATCATTCAGTAGTTGTTTATATGACTAACAGCTGTTTCTCTTGATTCTTAAGTGATACTTAGTTACAAATTTGAATCACCATTTTACAGAGTCCCTTTGATTTTAAAATTATGAACAACAAAGAGCAAATGTTTTGTTAAAACTAAATTAAGCATTTTAGACAACAAATACAGTACTGTAAAGATTTTAAAATTAAAACTCCTAAACTTTAAACTCTCTAGAAATAGTGTTCAGTTACATTGTAAAACCCAGTTCTGATGTAGAGTGGATAACTATTAAAGAGGAGGATATTAAGTTTTATTATTAGTGCTAGTAGCATATTTAATGAAATTATTCCATTCCTTTGCTCACAAATACTCATGCAAAAAGGCTATTTAACATAACAGCTTATGATATTGCTTATGGCATGTTCTTTTTGATTTGGTCATCATTTTGATCCTTTTCAAGTACTACTAATTTAAAAAGGTACATACTGACTATATTTGTTTGGCAAGTCATACATTTTTTCCACAAACATTCTCCACAAATGAGTTCTATACATCTTTTCATTGAAAAGCATTATGTTCATGGGTCATAAGAACATTGTGCATTGTATTATGTTCACAGCAGTGCAAACTAGTTAAGCAAATAGTATCAGATAAAGAAAATAGTATTATATTCATACTATGCTATTTAAGTGATAAAATTAGTTAATATTCTTAATTTTGTCTTTACTTTTTAGTAATCAGTTCATCAGGATTTAATGAAAACTATCTATTGAGCAGTGTGGGAGATGGATTATTACCTAATCGGAATTCCTTCTCAGGCCTGGCTCCCAGTTTACCTAAGAAACTGATGAGTTTGTATGTGGTATCTCCCCAGGGCCCCCATCTTCAGCCTGCCCTCACATTTTATGTTTTGTACTAAGGAACATTTGTCTATCTGTCTGCCTATCCATCTATCTATCTACCATAGTTTTTGGACCATAAGACATAACCTAGGTTTTAGAGGAGGAAAATAAGAAAAAAATTTAAGATTTTATTCATTTATCTTTAGAGGGGAAGGGAAGGAGAGAGGGAGAGAAATATCAATGTATGGTTGCCTCTCGTGTGTTCCCCACTGGGAGCTGGCCTGCAGCCCAGGCATGTGCCCTGACTGGGAATCGAACTGCAATTCCTTAGTTCACAGGGTCGTGCTCAATCCACTGAGCTACAACAGCCAGGGTAGAAAAAATTTTTTGAAGCAAAAAATGTGGCAAAATATTTAATAATGTAAATCACATAATATTTCACCAATGTAAATATAAACAGAATTCAACAGTA